CCGCGGATTTCCTGCGTCATAGATAAATCAAAATTCACTGAATTGCCGAAATCGGAGAATATTACACGATTGGGAATATTTCTTGAAGGGCTGACATCCTGTGTTAAATATAGGTAGTACAAAGTCATAAAACATGTTTGAGGATTTAGCTCCAGAAGCTTCTCAAAATTTTCGATCACCAGTGGGTTCATTACTTCGCAACGGGTGAGGAGCCTCAGAGATAACTCTGAAAAACGGACGGATAGAGGCAACATGCCCGCCAGCACTTCGAGACTCATAGTATGAGTCGAGTGCATGCATCCTAACGCGATACGAAGACAACGATACTGGATCCGTTCCAGCTTGATGATGTGCGTTTTAGCTGCCGACTGGAAGCAAAAACTACCGTACTCTAAAACCGATAAAATCGTTGTCCGGTACAACGTTAGAAGATCTTGCGGATGAGCTCCCCACCACGTTCCGGTAATTGTTCGGAGAAAATTGATCCTTTGTTGGCATTTTCGTCTCAGATACTCAATGTGGGATCTCCAGGTGCATTTGGAATCGAACCAGACCCCAAGATATTTGAAAGACATGGAATGAGTGATCGGTTTACCCAAAAGTTGAAGCTTCGGTTGAGCTGGGCTATGCTTCCTAGAAAAAACGGCCAACTCAGTTTTCTCCGTGGAGAATTCGATACCTAGCTGAATAGCCCAAGTAGACAAATTGTCCAAGGTATCCTGTAAGGGTCCTTGCAGGTCAACCTCTTTTGGCCCTGTGATAGACACTACGCCATCATCTGCAAGTTGTCTCAACGTGCAATTGTCACTAAGACAATTGTCAATTTCTCTAACGTAGAAATTGTACAAAAGGGGGCTTAAACATGAGCCTTGGGGGAGACCCATGTAGCTAAATCGAAAAGCTGTAGAGTTTCCATGAGTAAAGCTCATATGTTTCTCTGACAGCAAATTGTACAAAAAATTATTCATTAATGGAGACAATCCACAAGCGTGGAGTTTCTCTGAAAGAACTTCAACGGATACTGAATCAAAAGCCCCCTTGATATCCAAGAACACAGAAGCCATTTGCTCTTTCTTAGCAAAAGCCAACTGAATTTCCGAGGAAAGCAACGCGAGACAGTCGTTCGTTCCCTTACCCCTACGGAAACCAAATTGAGTATCTGAAAGAAGGTGGTTCGTCTCAACCCATTTGTCGAGGCGAAAAAGGATCATTTTCTCCATCAATTTCCGAATACACGACAGCATCGCGATGGGCCGATACGAATTGTGATCCGACGCGGGTTTATCAGGCTTTTTAATGGCTATCACCCTCACTCGTCTCCAATCGTCGGGAACAATATTGAGCTCCAAGAACTGATTGTACAAGTTCAACATGCGCCTCTTAGCGACGTCTGGGAGGTTTTTCAGCAAGTTGAACTTGATTCTATCAGATCCCGGGGCAGAATTGCCACACGAAAGGAGAGCGAGTGAAAGTTCCACCATTGAAAAAGGCTGACTGATTTCGTCTACCGAATTCGCGGTTTCGCGAGGAGTCAACTGCGACGGCACGGAATCCGGACACACTTTTCGCGCGAATTTAAGAATCCATTGATCCGAGCATTCCTCGCTTTCGTTGTTAGTAGACCGGTTACGCATTCTTCGCGCCGTACTCCAAAGCGTATTCATAGACGTTTCGCGCGACAATCCGTCTACAAACTGCCGCCAGTAACCCCGTTTTTTGGCCTTGATGAGGCTCTTGAGTTCGCGTTCAAGAGATGTGTATGCGTCGAAATGCTCGCGTGTTCCGCGTTTCCGAAAAAGTTTAAACGCGTCGGACTTTTTACGGTAAACCTCCGTGCATTGTTGATCCCACCAGAGTGATGGTGTTTTCTTACGGATTGACGATCGCGGCACCGGTCGTGTTTGAGCTTGAAGGGCGCTGTCGACGATGAGATTAGAGAGGAAATTATATTCCTCCAACGGCGGAAGCTCTTCCACTGACGATACTGTATCGTCTATCGCGGATTGGAACTTAGTCCAATCGATGTTACGGGTTAGATCATACGCGACGTTAACGGATTCTGACGAGTTGAACCCACTGGCAATCGAAATTTTGATCGGCAGATGATCACTACCGTGCGGATCCTGGATTACATGCCAAGTGCAATCCAACGATAGTGAATTGGAGCAAAAGGTGAGGTCTAATCTGCTACCATTCGAGGATGGACCAGCCAAACGTGTTACTTCTCCATTGTTAAGGATTGTCATGTTGAAGTTGTCGCAGAGATCATAAATCAAAGTAGAACGGTTATCATCGTACAGCTCCCCCCAGCCTGTACCGTGGGAGTTAAAATCTCCCATGATCAACCATGGAGCGGGAAGTACCGCACATATGTCGAAAAGTTGTTTGCGATTAACAGAGACTCTAGGAGCAATATATACAGAAGCAATACAAAGGCTCTTACCTTTAATGGTAGCCTGACATGCGACAACTTCAATACCGGGGAATTCGGGAAGATTCACTCTATAGAAGGAATGGCACTTTTTGATCCCCAAAAGTACCCCTCCTCCACGTGAATCCTCACGATCCAATCGAATAATGTTAAAATCAAAAAAAGGGAGATCAATTTCTGAAGAAAGCCATGTTTCACAGAGGGCAAATGCATCGCAATTATTGTTATGGACTAAATACTTGAACGAATCTAATTTTGGAATAAGACTTCGACAATTCCACTGTAGAACAGTGATCAAATCCCCGACCTCGTTTGGAAAATTATCCATCGAAGGAGATGATAGCTGCAAGAAGGGGCCATTTTGAAGTCAATTGCTTCAAGAAGGATTTCACAGTCGGAAGCAATGTGAGGACAATGCTTTTCAGAGGATCAGAAATGTTGAGGTATTTGAGAATACCGTCCACAATGTCATCAAATGAGAACAGCCCAGATGAAGAAGGGGTTTCTGTTCTTAAAATTGGGGCATCAGGGGTTTTGGATGTCCCCGGAAGAGGTGGAAAATCCTGGGTATAATCAGTTCTGCGGAATCCAGGAGGAGTAGAAGTCTCCTTTTTTCCACCACTCCTTGATTTGGGCAAGCTGATTTGGGGTTCTTGATCTGCAACTTTCCGCGAACGGATGCGTTTTCGTTTCCGGGCAGAACCTTCCGGAAAACTGAAAGAAACTCCCTCCTCAGCCAAGTCAGAGCCAGACTCGTCATCTGACAAAAGAGCGAAGGGATTTGTTTCGTTGGTCGATGGCTTGGCTGTCTTAAGCATTTCTGCAAAAGACCGCCTGGAACGTTCCTTAAGGGAGCGTTTCATTTTGTCCCCGAGCTGTTTGTACGCCGGGCACGACGAGAGAGCATGAGGAAGAGTTCCATTGCAGTACACGCATTTTGGTGCAGTAGCTGCGCAGGCGCCATCCTCATGCTTCTCCCCGCATGTGGAGCAGCGTGCCTTGTTGCCGCAGTGGGAGGCCGTATGTCCCAACCGCTTACAATTCTGGCAGTTCATGACCCGAGGTACAAACAACCGCACAGGAAGACGAAGGTTTCCCAGCTCGATGTATTGAGGAAGGGCAGATCCAGAAAAGGTCACCCGAAACGAGTCTGTGGGGGTAAAACTCCTTTTACCCTCGCTGAGCGATACTGACTTCATTCTATGAACGGCCAGTATCTTTACCGGAGGAAGCAAGGGGTTCTTGAATCGGCCAACCGCTTGCTTCTCCAGTATCTCGGGGTTCAGGCTCGCCTCAGTGACCACGCCTTCGATCTCCACATCAGAAGCTGGAATGTACACCCTATATTCCAGTGTGAAACACTGGGAAACAGCAATTTCATTGGCCTGTTTCAGGTTAGCGACGGTCACACGAAGTTTGTTGTGCCTAACCTTCGTTATTTCGGTCACGGCAGAGAATCGCTTTGTCAGATCATCAGATATCTGAACAACATTCAAGGGTTTGTTTTTGGGCTGAAAATAGACAACCCATGGGCCAGTCGAGTCATTCGGGTAGGCCCGCAATCTGGAGCTTTTCTCAGCCTGCCCATTGTCAGACTGAGACGACGAACCAGGGATGACATCATCATTATTCGTCTTCTGACAAAACATCCATTTTATTCAACTAGTGGGAGCGCAAAACGCTCTCCCACTGAACGCACAGACACAATACACAGAAAACACTACAAACACAGAAATACAAAATGAAAATTTAACTAATGGGGGAGTAAAAGAAACAAGAAAAAAACAAAAACTTATCTGATAATCCTATACTACTACCACCGAGCGTTATATGTGTAGGCGTTTACACCGATGGCTGGGAAGCGACGCACAGCGTGGATGACCTTCGCTGTGGTACACTTGATCGAGGCGCGGCACTCAGCGCACACAGGCGCACGATGAATGATGAACGATATAGTTGTAGATATCGGGTGCTCACACTCGATGATGATGATACGTGGGCGGGTATGCGTAAGCGCGTATGCGTGACCACGCAACGATGATGCCCAAATTGGTTCGCGAATTTCCAATAGCACGGATTACTCTTTCCGAAAATGACACTTTCTACTAAAAAAAACTCACTTTTCGATCAATTTACCGGGAACTATGCCAGGAGTCACTTAGTGAGAAAAAAAACTGATAATTTATATCAAGCGAATACCGAGAAAACTTCCAAAACAACGGAGCGCGAAACAAGTCGACCGTACTTCTTGCTAGGACGCAGTGAGATGGAGTGGTGGCTGATAGCAAACTATATTAAAATCGTTTCTTATTCTATACTTTTCTAAGCCTATCACCGAATCTGCCGTAGTATGCAGATTGTATTGGTGAGAGAGAAAAATGATCAGAGGACCAACGGTGGGAACAAATTGTAGTGAAGAATCTCCTGCGGATGGCTCCAGCAACGAAGTGTTTTCGTCGGTTTCCTCCTGTGGCAGCATGCAAATTTTGACGATTGGTCGTTTTACAATTCCCTTGTTTGTTTTCAGGCTCTTTTGTAGTTCATGTAGGTATTCAGTACGCCAACGGTGCTAGAAGTTTTGATGCAGCTGCTGCAGCTGTTGATAATGGCTCAAGCGATCGGTAGGGATGCAACGAACGTCGTGGTCAGGCAGGGATTGCATAGGTGCACCGATCAAAAAGTGGCCGGGTGTCAGTGCAGTAAGGTCTTCAGGATCCTCCGATAGTGGAACAAGTGGACGAGAGTTCATGCTGGCCTCGATTTGTGTGAGCACCGTTGACATGGCTTCGAATTGGAGGCGAGAATTTCCTAGTTGCCGATACAGCTGCTTTTTAGCGACTTTAACTGCGGCCTCCCATAAACCGCCGAAGTGAGGTGCTTTCGGTGGTGTCATGTGCCAAGTTATGCTGTTGTTAGCCAGGACAGATTCGATGACATTCATTTCCTTCTTGCTACGTAGGAACTTGTAGAGAGCAAGTAGCTCATTTTTGGCTCCCTCGAAGTTTTTTCCATTGTCGGAGTGGATATGCGCTGGGAAACCGCGGCGCGCGATGAATCTGCGCAACGTTGCCATAAATGCCGCCGTTGTTAGGTCCGAGACTAGTTCGAGGTGTACCGCTTTCGTAGAAAAGCATATGAAGACGCAGATGTACGCTTTCGGTGAGGGTGGGAATTGGGCAATAGGGCTGGGTGTTTCGTTCTGAATGGCTGGTCTGACAATCTCAACCTACCCCCTACTCTTAACGTGCCTTGTGGGTCTAGGAAGGGGTTAAGTACACAGATTGGCGAATGTTTAGAAATCATCTTTCCCTTTTGTAGATCTTTCAACTCTGCACGAAACGCATCTGCCTGAGCGAGACGAACCAAAAGATCTTCAGCCGAGGATATTTGAGCAGTGGTGAGCGTTGGACTAGGTAGATGACCAGTAGATACCAATGGCTGGGTGCGCGCTTTATGCCGAATATTCTCGATGAACCAGAGGCAATATGCAGTTATGCGCCTGAGTCTGTATAATGCAGAGTAGCGGTCAAATACTTCGTTGATTTGCTGTGCTGTGCGTGTAATGGTCGCCACCACCTTGCGATGTTCCATTTCGTGTTCAGGTGCTGGGGGTAGTGCTGAGTTGATCCAATCTTCTTTCGCTTTGAATAGCCATTCTGGACCGTGCATCCAAAAACTGCTTACAACGAAATCGTCGACGTCCATTCCTCGTGACAGCAAATCCGCTGGATTCTCCGAACCGGCGACATGATTCCATCGAAATCCATGCGTTAGAGTTTGAATTTCCGAGACCCTATTGGCAATGAACGTTTTCCAGTTATTTGGAGGTGATCGCAACCAATGTGGCGTGACAGTTGAGTCGCACCAGAAGAAAGAATCCGAGATTTCGATTTGAAGAGCCTTGCTGACATAGGCGTACAACTGAGCACCGACGAGAGCCCCAAATAGCTCCAAGCGAGGTAGAGTGATACGTTTTAACGGAGCAACTCGAGTTTTCGATGCTATGAGTCGAACACGGACGTTACCAGAAGAGTCAACAGAACGAGCGTAGATGCAGGCCCCATATGCAGCTTCCGATGCATCGGTGAACGTATGGAGTTGTACTTTGGCGTGTGGCAACAATGCATAGCGATCGACTCGAAATTCAGTGAGCTTTTCCAACGAACTGAAGTACTCCGCCCACTTGAATTAAAGAACGTCCGGTACAGGCTGGTCCCAGCTGCAGTTAAGGAGCCATAGTTCTTGCATCAGCATTTTTCCTCGGACGACGATCGGTGCAGCAAGCCCTAGTGGATCGAAAAGCTGGGAGATTGATGATAACATGGACCTTTTGGTAGCAGGCTTGTCCGGATGAGTGACCTTCGAGTCAAATCGCAGCTTGTCAGCTTCAGGTGCCCATACGATACCCAACGTTTTCAGACTTTCTTGAGGAGTGAAGCTTACGATGGATTGTGTCCCGATTTGATCTTGGCTTAGTCCTTGGAGCACCTCTAGCTTATTCGAAGCCCACTTTCGTAAAATGAAACCACCTTTCCTGAGAAGATCATCTAGTTCCTTTCGCAGCTTGATGGCTTCATCGATGGTTTGAGCACCCGCAACGCAATCATCGACATAGAAACCTTTGCGGAGAACTGGCAGAGCGAGTGGCTATGCTGGACCTTCATCTTCTGCTAGTTGCAGAAGGGTTCGAGTGACTAGGAAGGAAGAAGAAGCGAGCCCGTATGTGACCGTTAGTAGCTGGTACACTTGGATTGGTTGGGATTTCGAAAAGCGCCAGAATATGTACTGGAACGGGCAATCTAGTAGATGCAACAGGATTTGGCGATACATTTTTTCCACGTCCGCCACAATTGCAACTGCAAACGTCATAAAACGTAGAATAATCGCTAGCAGCTCATCCTGAACAACGGGTCCAACGAGCAGGGCGTCGTTCAACGAGAATCCGGTTGATGTTTTTGCAGATCCGTCGAAGACGACACGTACCTTCGTAGTGGTGCTAGATTACTTCACTATTGGATGGTGAGGAAGGTAGTACGAGTTTTTGTCGTCGATTTCATCTTCGGGAACTAATCGCATATGACCAAGGGACAAGTACTCTTCCATGAACTTATGATACTCCTTCTTAAGATCGGGTTCTCGTTCTAATCTTGCTTCAGTAGCCCTGAATCTTCGAATGGCAGCAGCTTTGAATTCCCCTATCATGGTGTTGAATTCCGGATGACGGGGCAGACGAACTTTATAGCGACCAGAAGAATCACGTGAGACTGTTGACTTATACCATTCTTCGCATTTCCTCTCCTTTTCAGAATAGTCAGAACTGTGAGGAATTCTTCTAGCTTCCAAAAGCGTTCCAAACTCTCTTCGAGTGTGACCAGGCAAACTGCAGTGAAGTTGCAAGTGGCGGAATCGGGAGATGTTGGAATGAGATGACCAGAGCCTGCAACGATCCATCCGAATACGCTGTCGACCAGTTCGGGCAAATCTTTCGCTAATTGGATACGAGCCGTTGTTGTGAAGCAGGAGAAAAAGTGTTGAAGACCGATGATCATGTCGATGTCAGCACGCTTGTTGAAGTTGGGATCGGCCAAGAACAGGTCCTTCGGGATTTTCCAGTCGACGATTGGGACGTCTTGCTCAGGCATGGCGGACGTCACTCGAGGCAGGACGAGAAATCCAATGTCGTGTGTGAAATCCTCCTTGCGAGAATGAATTTGAGTGGAGACAGAATCTGATGCGCGAATCGAAATTCCCCCAGGTTCTTGCAGCTGTACATTCACCTTCTTCCGCTTGAGCATCAGCATTTGTGCCATACGATCCGTCATTAGATTGGGTTGGGAAGCACTGTCTAGCAAGGCCCTTGCTAGGTGTTCTTGCCCGTGGACGTCTACGATGACCAACACTACGGTGAGCATGAAGACGTTGCTGTTTCGAGAGATCTGAGATGACACTGCTTGAACTTCGTTGACGTACGCAGAGGTAGATGAATCCATGGTGGATGAATCGATGTTGGCCACGGTGACGTTTGCTTGAGTGGAAAATTGTGGCTCACTAGTAGAGCACTGAACCACGTTGCTACTTGGAGAAGAATCTGCGTAGCCAGGATGGATCCACGTGTGATGACGCTTCTGACACATTCGGCAGTTGGTTTGGCAAGGGCAGTTGCCAACGTAGTGCCCATCTTGGAGGCAGTTGAAGCAGAGTCGTTTTGTGTTTATAATATTCAACTTCTCCTGAAGAGATAGCTTCTTGAATTGGCGCATTGCAAAGCTGGGTCGACTACCGGAATTCCGTTTCTTTGTATTATTCTCCGTCACAGCATGCGTAGACATCTTCTGTTGAAAAACCTTGCTGCATTTTTGTGAACCAGAAGAACCATAACCAGAAGATAAAGGCGAAGTACTATGCGAATTCGGAGGTAGTGGAACAGACTCATGATTGACGGCGATAGATTCAAGAACCCTGATTCTCCGCTGCAGAAAGTCAACTAGGTTAGTGTATGTTGGCTTATCGATTGTTGACGCGTGATCCTCCGACAATTTCAGCGTTTCGTCGTGCAGTCTGGTGCAGAGTAGATGTTCCAGCATTGTTGACCAGGTATCGGTAGGCTCCCCTAATTGTCGCAGAATTTTCGTGTGCCTTTCGAATTCGTCGACAAGTCCATGTAGAGTCGCTGCAGATTCCTGTTTCATCCTTGGAGTCTCGTACAGAGCTTGTAAGTGCCGCTTCTTGAGGAGATACTCGTTGGAATAGCGTGACACGAGAGCCTCCCAAGCGAGTTGGTAGTTCGCAGCACTGATGGCGATGGATTCAATTACTTGAGCAGCCTCACTTTTCACAGCAGCACGCAGATAGTGAAACTTCTGAATGTCAGCCAATTCTGGGTTAGAGTGAATAAGCGCGAAGAACGTATCATGAAAACCTAGCCAATCTTGGTAATCACCACTAAATTCAGGCAGAGCTATTGTTGGCAATTTAAACCATGCAGACCAGTGAGTAGGGGGATTTAGAGGGAGATTGCTTGGTTGATTGATAGGTGGAGGTAACCTAGATAGCAGACCAGCTTTGCAAAAAAATTGGACTCAAAGTCAACGATAATTCAAATTCCTCACCATGCCTTGATTCGACGTCTCCATTTCCTCCAGTTCCCTTTGAGTTTCCTCCAGCCCTTGCCACACGATTTCCAAATTTTCCAGCCTCAGAGGGACTTGCAGAGCGTCCCGTCCAGCCTCAAATGCATGAAGAAATTGTTCCGCTCGGCTGAGTGACGCAAGCAGTGTGGTTCTCCGGATGTTGAGCTGTTGCTTCCTCCTATCATCGTCCATCTTGTCGGTCGTTGTTGCGAGCAGATTGTCACCACCGTGGTACCAGCGACAGTGGCAGCGACGTGAACAGGAAGCGGAACGTGGTCTGGGAAAAATAAGACCAGATAGCACTGGCGAGAAAGAAGTATTCAACTTGGAAAGGTACTAACCTGACCAAGGCAAGTTTGTGCCTTGTATTTTAATGCAAAATCTCGTACTCAGCCAGAAACAGTTTCAAAGTAACCAAGAACTTGATGTTCCGTATCGATGACCCCTTAACGATCTTCGCGATAGATTAGCGATGGTGTTTGTCCTCGATAGCACTCACGAAGCAGCGTGTAATCCGTTGACCGTAATATCAGGAGTCGTGAAACGCCGAAATCCACCAGCCGACATGTGCGTTTTAAAAGGAGAGAACAAAACCGAAAATCTAAACGCACCTACGTTGGCTACTAATCACGTTGGAAAGCTAATTACCTGCTGCCTAATTAATTAGGCCTTGTATTTTTGTAATGGCAGCATACAACTTGCAAAATCGTTCCAGAGGTGATCGTGATGGCGACTCCTTTTTGTCGCGGACGATTGGTGATTGTCTCTTTGACTGCGCCCGAAGATGGCGGTTATTTCTGCAGTATTGTTACCGGACAGAATGGCGATCACGGAGATGGCAATGAGCCCCCGAAAAGTCCAGGAATCCACAATTATCCTGGTCACGGCACCAAATTATGTTGGGGAAGAACCTTTTCTCACCGCTTTACGGCCGTCATTCGCCTAACAGTTTGCAATACGCAACTTATTCGTACCACGGTCAAACGAAACACATTCACAGAGGGACGATAATTTATTGCAACACCAAACACTTAACAAACTTTGTTTCTAATTTCTAGGACAGAGTATATTTGCGCGCAATTTGGTTTCCTCTTGCAAACTCAGTGGTGGCTGATAGCAAACTATATTAAAATCGTTTCTTATTCTATACTTTTCTAAGCCTATCACCGAATCTGCCGTAGTATGCAGATTGTATTGGTGAGAGAGAAAAACGAGAGAAATTTATACGATGTTACAGCATCCAGCTACTTAAACACTGGCGGCTCGTAATGAAAAAACACACTGAACCTAAACATAAGGTTTTGCACCGACGGGGTTAACCTAAATTGGATGATACTATTTATGTGGACTTAATTTTTTTTTTTCATGGGTAGATTTTTTCGATAATTTTTCAGACTGCCGTGAGATGCAAACCACACTTCTGCAATGTCCACGAGCAACATCATTTCACCGCGTATTTTCTCGGCATTTTTCGAATTAAAATTCGGAATTTTTAAATGCTGCAGAACCTAATAGAAGAGGGAACCATATTAGGTTCTGCAGCATGACGTTACAAAGAACTGTTTACAAGCACTTAGATTTTTTTTTCCGAAAAAATAATTTGAAAGATTCCGAATTTTAATTAGAAAAATGTCGGGGAAAGCACGGTGAAAGGAAGAAAAAAATACTAAGACCACGTTAACAGTACCACAGAACTGTCATCCGATTGAGGATTAACCCCGACGGTGCAAAACGTTATTGTAAATTTATAATATTTGGTATCATTTTACACGGCCTTCGAAAACCTCAAAACGAAATTTTGCCTCACATGTCACAATGCTGTCATACAAACTGCCGTCGATTGGATTACAAAAATTGCCTGCCCACTATAAAGCAGCAGAAAATATTCACGCCAGTATGTGCAACATTTATCAGCATAGCACAAGCCGAAAGGGAAAGTGCTTGCATCATTAAACAATACCGCTTACCGAGGCAAGTAAAAATGAACCGTCAGAGAGAAAGATTATGCTGCCATATGAATTGATTATTTTAATGATTTCCATCGCATTTCCTTTCCCCAAGCGTCGTCGTTGATTGCCATCGGTACCTACATGAATGCGATGGCCCATACGGGGTCGCATCGCGTCACAGAAAGCCGATCATAAATCTTCCGCCTTTCCGATTCGGGAAGAAAGCTATTGTTGGGCATCATCTTGCCGCTCGATTTTTTTCCCTGCCATTGCTATTTATTGTCGTTTCAGCGATTGTCATCATAAACGTAAAAGCGCGTGGGTTGCACAACTATTTATTGTGAACAGATCACAGTGTTTCAGTCGCGTCGCGTCAAGTGACATAACGACACGTACGAGACGAGGTGGTGACAGTTCAAGTTTGGGGTTGAGGGTGACTATTCCGTGATGGATGGCCTGAGGACTCAGGCTTTTCGAACACCATTTGCTGCGGTTATCTCACCCTAAGGAATCCAAAGCGATTCAAAATAGCACCGTTTGTACAGCAGTTCAAGCAAATTTATTGTACAAACATGTTTATTTTAATCCAAGACCAAGCAAAACAGTCACCCACCGGTAGCACCGATCCTCAGATAAAATTCATACATACATTTACCTTTTGAGACTGGCCCATAAATTTGGCTGCTTTGAAATTCAAAAGCTGTTATCCCTTTTTCCAATTTGCATGCACATTTCACATGTATCCTTCCAGATGGCAAACCACCCGTAGATGATGAATTGATACTCTGGGAGATTTGTAGTGTTTACCTACATATTTCGGGTTGCCGCTTTGTCTCGGTTATCCCACATCATCAATGAATCAAAGGAATGTTGGGGCTCTCATACTTTATTTATTCGACATTGGTCAAGCAGGTTTCAACTTTCAACGCAGCGCAACCCGGCAAGGTGATGGATTCATGAAGATCACACTTCGGACAAGGTTTCGGCATTGTAAAGAAGATTGTTTGGGTGACTGCATGGGGAAGGAATTTGCCTATCGGGTTTGAGTGAGTGTGTGTGTGTATCAACCCACCAATCCCAAACTGGACAGGTGAGGTCAGGTTTGATTGCTATGCTAAACGCTACGGCAACCTGTTTCAATCTATGAATCACTACTAGCGTGATGTTTTTAGACAAAGACCTACAGTCACAAATCGAAAGTGTCTACAGTGTTTGGCATTGTTTGGAACTCGATTTGCCTTAGGGCTCCGATGGTTTCATATTTCTTAAATGCTGACTCCAAAAAGGTTATATAATCATCATCTAACTATTATGGTCGCACGGAAGCCTGATCAAATGCGAATCCTTTCAATGATTTTCCAAGATAGGAATTGCTTCCGACAGGCTGAGTTGACCGATTAATATTCATGTTGTTAAATTTATCGCAGAAATATGCAAATCACATTCGAGTTAAACGAGTCACTCGCTTGGCGAACAGGGTAAACAACAACAATGTTCGGAAATTACCGCAAACATTACACGCATTTGAGTATCGCTATTGTTGTTGTTGTTGTTGTTGTTGTTGTTGTTGTTGTTGTTGTTGTTGTTGTTGTTGTTGTTGTTATTGTTGTTGTTGTTGATAGAGTAACTCATGTCCAGACAATGTAGGTCAGGCAATTTGTCATTGGTATCGTATTCAGATCGGTACTGGCAAGAATCATTAGAAATCAATAATTTACTAGGAAAGCCATTGCCTATCATCCTAATAGGATTTATAAATAAAGCGTTATCCGACACGTCAATATATCCAGCGGGACAAACATAACGAATTTCAAAGTTGATACATGTTTTGGAATGTACCTATAGCGTACCATAGAGTACCTTCAAGGATTTTGAACGTATCTCAAAGCTTCCCGGAAAACCCGTGTCCCACTGGATAGACTTATGATTAATTTTTATTTAAATCACTGGTAAATTCTATCAAAAAGTGAATTCCAGTTAGGTACGTTGGTCATGCCCAGTCAGAAAGTTATCATGGCATTTCTCATGATGGAGTTTTCTAAGCAGCACCATGCGTCTCCACAATTATTCATGAAATTAACGGTGTTGTTCGAAATAAGTATATTTTTAAGGGATGCAATTAAAAAAAAGCTGTTTTTGGTCCTCAAATTGGCTAGAATGCACTTAAGTATAATGTTTTTCTATGAAATCGGGCTACAATTTTTTGAGGAATCCGATCCCGTGCCCAGAACTCATATATAAACCGATTTAAAAAGATTAGTATAAGCATTTAAGTGAAAATAAGAGGTACGTTAAAAATGAATTACAGATTCGTAAAGTACGCATTTGGTACGTCACATTTCCGTAGAAATCTGGTCGATCGATTTGCTCATTGCTGAAATCGTATGTCTATCTAGCGGGACACGGGTTTTCCGGGAAGCTTTGAGGTACGTTCAAAATACTTGAAGGTACACTATGGTACGCTATATGTACATTCCAAAACACGTATCAACTTTGAAATTCGTTAAGTTTGTTCCGCTGGATAGATTGACGTTTATCAGACACATAGTTTTTGTTTGCCTTCCAAATAAACGATCTAGATAAAACGTAGTTTTTGTTTTTCTCTAACACGTAAAAACCGTTGATTTTTATATAAAAATGTGCTATTGGAAAATCATATAGTATCTTTGTTTTCCGAAATATGTGCCTTAAATTAGGGTCGTATGAAAATCATTGACACTAAACTTTCATAGGATTTTTCAAAACAATATCTTCATTGGACATTCTATAACATTTAAAGGCTTTCACCAATGGCGATTACGTGACGTTTTGCTTCAGTGTAGGTGTAAAGAGTTGTTATTTACGGCTAGCTCAGTAAATGGGTTTCTTTTCAGGGTCGGCTACATTCACTTGCTTCGGGAGAACATCACACATACAACCAATCAACACGAGAATAATAGGCGGAACAATACAGGACACCAAGACACAAACACAGAAAATAAGCTTATGTATAATATAATTCTCGATTTAAAAGGTACATCATAATGGTAGGGGGGGGGGGGTTCGTTGCGGCCGATCAGGAAACGGTGGGGCCCATGCGTAGAGGGAGAGAGAGAAAGGGATTTTTATAGCTTGGTTACCTCTGATGATAGGGTGGTCAGCTACTCCAATCGGCACCCATGATCCTAGTCTCCATGGGGGAGCTCCGCCGATATGTTACCGAGGTCGTTGCGTAGATCCATAGCTCGGCGTACCTTCTCGATGCTCCGACAGAGTAGGGTTTGAATAACCGACGTTCCACGCGCTCGCAGACGGGGCAGTAGCACCTTGGATTTTGGGCACTGGCAAGCGGGGGTGGGCCCGCCAGACCTTACCAGACCCTCACCGCCACAGCTTTGGCTACTGCTCGCCCGTTGTGTGTGTCGTAGCAATGGCGGATACTCGCTAGACACCAGCGCGGGACTCGCCGATCCCCAACTCACTTCTTGCTGGATCGTGGTTAGAGCCCACGTGGGAACTTTGGTCACCGTCTCCGTTTGCGGGTATTTATATGTGGGGGTCTCCTTGGTACCACTTTCCACACGGCTTCTTCAAGACCAACACTCGTCGGAGGTCTCTGCGGGAGGAATTGAACCCAGGCTTCGGTCTTCAAATAATGTCCTTTCGGCCTCAGGTAGACAAGCACTCTCCTCGAACCACTTTTCTACTTCGTTCTTCGATTATCTTTCTCTATTATCGATCCAAACTCTTGGACGGTCTACTACTTTCTGCCGGCTTTAGCAAAACTCCATCATCATCTCTCCTCTCTCTCCCTGTTCTTCCTCTCTCTCTCTTTCTTATTCTACTCTTCTAATTTTCCGGTGATCCGCACTCAAAATAATCGACACGTTATTGTTACGTGAAAAATCACGTAGGGTATCTCTTTTTACTTTGCTGTCAATTTTACGTGGCCCAAGTAAACGCTACATGATACCACTTATATGTGAACCGAAATTCCTTTCGAAACCGCCAGAATTTTTAATGAAGTTTACGTGATTTACACATACACATATTCTATGTGCGTTTCACGTAAACCCTAAGTGATTTTCACGTTTGAAAAAATAAATGAGTTCACTCATATTGCTATTCAATATGACGCTAGTTCATTGTGCATGTTTACATGTCATTGAAAGCCCATATTGGTTTGATTTTTATTTTTGTGAGGCAATATCGAGTTGTAGGTATAAATAATTAAAATTTTACATGGAGATTAATTTAGGTTGTTCCTTTTTTAGTATGACAACAAGGACCATCATGTATGGACTTCAAATCAAGTGGAAGTTATAGGTTATTCCTGTTTCCGATCCTTGTCTCGGTCGAATTTTATCCGATCCTTGTCTCTGTCGAATTTAAATCGGCATTAAATAATCAATTGCAATCACCATGAATTTTGCCGGAAGAATCACATGACTTCTACGTGATAATCCAGTGACGTAGAAGCTCACTGAGTTGAGTGCCTCCATATGTGAATCACGTAAGTCTTACGTGAAAAATGCGATGGAAAAAATCTATGTGTGTTTTCACGTAGCATTGATGTGAGGATTATTTTGAGTGCGTGATGCCAACATTGGAGATGCATAAATGACATGTAATCGAACGGATAAGATGTGAGCCGTTGTCGAGGGGTTAGTAGATTTTAAACTAGGTAATATTAATGTGGACTTTGTCGTCTTTTGTTTTTCATTTACATTTTTATTGTTTTTTATTTACTTATTTATTTATTTACAGTTATCTGCATGCAAAGATTTACAAATATTTATATAGTGGGCTGGGTAACTTGTTGAACGGTTTATATTTATGTTAGGTATAATTTATTAACAAATGAAAATGTGCCAAGGGAAAATATTGCATTCAAAAAATTATTTTTATATATATATACCTACAAATCTAAACTAATGAAAAAAAGACCTAACCCTAACCTTAACTAATCTCCTTGTGTGCCTTCCCAACAAATTTTCAGGGAGTAAAAAAAATTAAAGATAATTTTGGCATCATTATTTTCATTTATTTCGTCTTTATATCAGAATGCGCGAACCTTGGCCTTCACCCCAGCCATAAAGTTCTGCACGACCTCAGCTTCGACAGTTTTTACTTATTAGCCCATGCTTTCTTCTACATTGTTCACCACTTTAGGTTGTTTTAGAAGGTGCTCCTTCATAATGGCCCAGTACTGGGCGCAGTTCCGGAGTGTTTGGGGGGTTCAGATCTTTCGGAACGAAATCGACATCATTCGCCTTGTACCACTCTAGCACGTCCTTCGTGTAGTGGCATGATGCCAAATCCGGTCAGAAGATCGTCGGACCGTCGTGAGCCTTCAGGAGAGGGAGATGCCGCTTTTGGAGACACTCTTCCAAATACACTTGTCCATTCAAAGTGCTTGCGGTAACGAAAGGTGTACTCCGCTTTCAGCAATTACAAATCGCTTTCCAAAATAAGAACTTCTTGGCGAATTTCGACATCTTCTGTATCCGGAGATTCTCGGGACCATCATTGGCAGTCACATACAGGTTTCCTGGAATCTGGTTGAAGTCCGCATTCACATATGTCTCGGCATCCATTACGCAGCAGTGTGGTTTCGTTAACTTTTGGTCGTACATCTTCCGGGCACGACTTTTTGCGACCGTATTCTGTTTCTCGTCATGGTTTGGGGACTTCTTAACCTTTTTTCAACACGAACTTGTTGACCAATAATTCAGGAAAGTCTGCCAGGCTTTGTAACCTGCTCACCGCTCACTCTTTATATTCATTGGGTACCGAGCCAACATTCTTTCACAGAAGTGGAGCGTCGCAATTGGATTTAATTATTGCTCAAAAGTGTTGAGATTTAACCAAATTGAAGTACCTGTATTATGAAACCATGACTTAATTTTTGCATCCCTTGATTTCAGGGTCATACATACTTCCAAGAAAATCGAATATCGTGACTACAATGCTATTCAAGTTGATTCATTGGTGGAGGCTTTTAACTCGGTTGATTGGAGCTCTTTTTATCACGTTGATGACTCCAACCTGCAGTTAGAATTTTTCAACAATGTTTTGACGGATCTCCATGACACTTTCGTTCCAATCCGAACTACTATTTGTAATTTGTAATTCTCGCAAACTTGATTTCTTATTCAAGTATGCGAACACAAGCTGTATTTAATAATGGAGTTTTTTCTCAATTTATTTCCATAACATCTGGGGTTCCCCAGGGTTCTATTCTGGGGCAAATCTTATTCTCATTGTACATTAATGATCTCCCTGAAGTAATAAGGAATTGTAAATTTCATCTGTTTGCCGATGATGCTCAGCTATACTTTGACTGTGCAAGTAATTCTGTTGCTGAAATTTCTCAGAAAATTCATGAAGACTTGAAGAGAATCCTAGATTGGTCTGTAAAGAATATGCTTCGCTTGAACTCCAATTTCGTAATTTTTATTACAAATAGTTCTTTTCAAAATATATTAAACCCTTCATTGCTTATAGACAATGAAACAATTGAATACATCGATAATGCTACCAGCTTGGTATTCAATCCAATTTTGGATGGGATAAATATGTGTTGTCACAATGTGGAAAAGTTTATGCTTGTTTACGTTCACGTCACATAACATCATCATTTCTTAGAACTG